AGAAAAAAAAAAAAAGACACCTTAATAGTGGCTAGAGCTTAAACACAAGAATCAAATGTTTGATCCAGCTGGCAGATCTAAGAGGAAGCCTTGCATTGCACTGAGCTGAACTGAATCAGTAACTCAGCAAATTCAGAGCAGTTTTTTTAAAACAACCTATGAGGCTCAGGTGTATAAGTGCAGTTGACTTTTTTTTTTTAAGACACCAATGAACTGTGGACCTGGTTTTTCAGAGGTGTTGAGCACATGCAGATTAAGCTTCTGTTGGTCGAAGTTATGAACAGGAAAAACACCTAAATATCAAATGCACAATGTCTAATATTCAGAATGCAGTGTGTCAGTTGTAGGTAAATCAATCCTACTTAAAGGTTAGAATAAAGTTTTATATGATGCTTTAATGAAATGTAAGGAGTAATGGCCTTGTATTGCCTTTCCACAAAAGCACGATGATCAGCCTATTTGAATTTGCTCCTTGAGTGCCTTTCTAAGGTTATTCAGTTTATGACTCAATAATGAATATGCAAAATTATTCCTGATGCACATGGCAATTGCTCTTTCATAAAGCAGTCAGGCTCCATCTAAGCAATTTTAAGTGCCCCAGCTCTCCTGTTGAGAGACTGTTTGGGAATCTCTTATATCTAAATTCTTCTGATTTCAAGGCTACCTTTTTTTATGGCTAATTCATAGCTATTTATTTCTCTTTCAACATTTCCCTGAAGCTCCTTCCTGCTTGACATTTATCCTGCAGTGAGACAGCAATCAAGTGTCACCTTTGTTCATTTAAGCTAAACAAGCCAGTCTTAGTTCTCCTTTATAAGATCTCTATTGTCTGTACAACCAAGGCACCCTTTGCATCCTTCATGTAACATCTAAGTTCATGTTTCATTAATGTTTGTGTCATCAAAATTCAGGCTTCTGCTAATGTATAACATTAATAGGATGGAGGCTCAGTCTAAGTGAATTTATTTGAAAATCCAAACAGGTTTTGCTTGCTTGTATTTTTAGAGTGAAGAAAAATATTTGTCCATCAGTTTCATCATAATACAAATAATATATTGATCAAAGACTGGGTGATCCTTGCCAGACTGGAAGAAAACACTCATCTGGATAGTTGTCTGTAGTTTTCACAGGGAGCCAAAATGCCAAATCTGGCAAAGTTTTCTTCTTGATTTTTGTTGTGGTAAGGGGTGGAGGTGATTTTATTCTAACCTTAGAAATTGCTTAGATCTAGAACCCAATGTGACAGCTTTTTGCCTCTGAGATTGATTTTGAAAATCCCCACGTATTTTGACATGGTGTGGGTATAACTGTGGTTTTTGCGTTTGCTAATAACATGTCCTTGAAAAATGACTGCTTATCTAACTGGAGAAGAATAAGGTGCTACTTGAAGATGGAATTTGCATTTTCTCATCTGGCAAATAGGTTTTCCCCCTTGTCTTTCTCTGTGTGGAATGGCAAATCTAATTTGTAGGGTTTTACTGGTCTGATCCTCAGCTGGTGTAAATCAATATAGCTTCACTGATCTGAAAGTGTCTGACCCATACGCTTGTTCAGTAGCAAGTATGCCAACAAAAACCTCTCTTAGTATGGGGCATTTTTAGATTTAGAGATACTGTTCTTTCAGTGTGGTCTAAGGTATGTGAGACCAGCATGCTCAAACGAAGGGGAGGGAGAGCTCTAACTGTAAGAGCCAGACCCTATGGTCAACTCCTGTTGAATGAGGTTTATTACTGAGCTGAGGGCTTTATAGAACTCTTCAGGACGTTTTACCAGGATGAATGTTGATGATACCTAGACTGGATGAGTCTAGATGCCTTTGTTCTAGATACCTTGTACTACAGCCCACCTCTTCAATTCCTCCAGAAAATACTTGCTTCCATAACTCTTTTGAAGTGCCAACAGCAGGCGTCACAAACAAAGGGTATCCTTGCTATACTCAGCCCTCCAAAACTGGGCTTTCCTGTTGTTTCATAGACTGTTACCAGATTTGGAAGCAAGCTTGATCCCTTTCTATCCTTTCCACAGCCATTAAAAATCAGCCTAATGAGGATGTGAAATTCCATGTGATCTGTGAATACCTCCCACTAAAAGTCATTCAGATAGTGTTGTGAGGGAACTCACAAGATCTTTTAGCATCTTGGCATTAAATTGGCTTTTTAAAGATTACAAATCTTTATTCTCATTATGGTTTTAATCAAATGGAACATGGAATATAGACATGGCTTAACAGACTCTTACTAAAGATAGTAATTTATTTATGGTTTCTTTCATCCAAAAGGACATACTGTACTTTGCAAGCCATGGGTAGTGTCTTTGAAGGCAATAGGGAATATAAGCCACGTAGTACCATCTGCAGAATTTAATTCAGTGCCTAGTAATTACTTTAGATAATTTGGAAGTGATACATGTAGTAAATGTAATGTAAACCACCACCCTCTGCAATACATTAGGATGCTAAATGGAGTGAATCTTTAATAAAACTTAGCCCAAGAACATCTTCATCTGGGAGTATGTCACGTAACTCAGGGCTAAGATCCCTTTTGAGTGGAAAGTACAGTAGGGTCTTCAGTGTCTAGGAGTTCAGGGTTTCAGTCTAAGGCTTTCTGAACAATGTTTTCCTTGGTAGTTCAGTGCCCCCTACCATTGTGAGAGGGAATTCATCCATGTCTTAAACCTCCATGGTCTCTCCATGCAGATTTGGGGAGGTGGAAAGGGGGATGTTACTCGTGTACAGCAGCTTAATCTACAAGACAAGATGCAGGTGGTAACACTCCAGTAAGAAAGCAAGAATGGAGCTCCCCTGGTGTGAACTTGGCCTTTTAAATTATATCATCCTTGTGATAGCTTAGGCAGGCTTCCAGCTGAGTCTGATTAAAGTCCAGGGCCAGCCACTTACCTCCATTTCTCTTTTATCTCAATTTTTATCTCTTGGGTTTTTTTGGCAGCTGGCTTTGCGTAATGCCTTGCGTTACTTCCCACCTGAAATACAAAAGAAGCTGGCACTGGAATTTGCTGAAGAGCTCAAGCTGTACGGCCATATTTACATGTACAGATTCTTTCCAGATATTGAGATGAGGTAAGAACTGGATGGTTCACACTGTATTTGACTGCTGTTTGCTTACCTGTTTTCACCTGTGGAACTGACCTTTAAATAGCAGCATTGCTATGTCCTAATTTACCTCTTGTAGAAACCATGTTATAACACATTAATTAAGTGAATCATCTGAATAAATTGGATGATCTGTGTGTGTCATTAGATAGCAGTGGTTTAATTTCCAATAAGTGATACTGTATGTTTTGCGATGCTCTTCTTTAAGGCTGTGTAACAGTGATCCTTCATGTCCAGCTTTCATCCTGTTCTCTGTCCTCATGAGAGTCCCATGGATAGGCTGTGGCAGGGCCAGGACAGTCTTGCTGCTGGAAAGCTCAGCACCACTCAACACAGGGAAAGGATTGTGGAAGGTTGTGTGCTTGGTAATGCCAGCTTTTACATACACAGAGATCCCAAATGCTCTGCCCCATAGCAAGTCTCAGTTTCTAGAGATCAGTCATTACTCAGAGATATCTGATTGCAACCTGGACAGAAATCTTGCAATAGTACTGAGCTGCTGCAAGTCAAGTCTCAAGTGAACCAAGAGGTAAGATCAGATGAGTGGATGGCTTGAGACCTGCTATGAGTGGCTTGTTGTTTCCCAGTCTCACAGAGAAGGCTTTCTGGGCATAAAAGAAAGACAGTACATTTTTCCATCACTGGAAGCTGTATCTGACCCTAGTTTGTAATATGCTGTGCCTGTTGCCTGTTGATCTTGGAGCATCACTTCATTCTAGGGCTGATGGGGCTAATGTTTGTGAAGTAGAACAGTTTTAGAGAGGGCTGCCAGGGGCTAGCTGCTTTTTTAAGTCTGATTGATTCCTTCATGCATTCAGCAGAGGCCTGGTTAATGTCTATACAGAAATCTGAATAAAGCGAGCAACTAGAAAGCACTCTGATTTCCACAGACATCCATATTTCTGTGCTGTCCATGCTAGTCTGGGGTCAGCTCTTGCAGAATTCAGCTAAGGGGAAGACAGCTAGAAGACTGCCTGAAAGATACTGCTGAGCTGGACTTCAGAGGACCCTACTCCCGAACTACATATGAGGACACTTTCCTCTCAGGCTTGGATGAGACAGTCCACCAGCTTGTTGATGGCACTGGCATCAGTTGCTCTTTGATAGCATCAAATTATTTTTATTTCTTTGTGACCATTTCACTGATCACTCTATTAGACTCTTACAGTATCAGATTAGGAAAATGCCTTTTGTTCTCTTTAGTCTGGTAGTATTTGGGTTTTTTTTTGTTCTGAATGTCCCAGGGAGCACAGTTCAACTTGATTCTGTCTCATTTAACACCCATGTTCAGCTGATACCTGAACTTTGGGTTTCTTATATTCTGAGCAATATTATGTGGAAATATCTCCTTTGAAGTGGTATCATTCCACAGAAATCCTGTTATTTTATCACATCAGGCTTAGAAAAACAGAAAATGCTAATAAAAAAAGTATTGCAGAAAAACTCAAATGCTTTCTCTCTTGGTTTGGCAATGACTACAAGACATTTGTTTTAGTATCCGGATGTAAAAAGCTAGGATCAAGTGCATATGATTATGGGAGGAGCCCATTCGCTAAATCTGTGGAATATACATTCCAGATCTTGGCTCATGAGCTGGTCAGCGGATGTACAATTTTTATTTTTTTGCAGTTGGCACTCTTTAGCCTAACGTTTTCGGTGTGTCTTCCCTGTACAAAGCAAGTGGCCAGCCACTGAAGATCTATGGTCCAATAAAAGGAATATAATTTAGAAACCATGTCAAATGATCCTATTTACCTTCAGGAACGTCTGTAATGGTGGTGTTGCTTACAGAAAGGGA